TGGCACATGTCCACGAGGGGCAGCAGGGGAGGTTATGCTTAGGGGCAACCAGCATGGGTTCATTAGAGGCAGGTCCTGTCAGACCAACCTGGTGGCCTTCTACAACCAGGTCACCAAATCCTTAGATGCAGGGGTAGCAGTGGATGTAGTCTTCCTGGATTTTCGGAAGGCCTTCGACACTGTCTCTCACCCCGTTCTCATTAAGAAACTGGGGGACTGTGGTGTCGACACCCACACAGTCAAACAGGTCGTTAACTGCTGGAGGGCCATAGCCAGAGGAGTAGTGGTGGACGGGCCATTTTCGACCTGGAGGGATGTGGGCAGTGGGGTCTCCCAGGGCTCGGTCCTCGGGCCTGCACTGTTCAACATCTTCATCAGCGACTTGGACGAGGGGGTAAAAAGCACCCTGTTCAAACTTGCTGTTGACACTAAGATGTGGGGGGATGTGGGCACACTAGAAGGGAGAAATAGGCTGCAATCGGACCTAGACAGGTTGCAGGGGTGGGCGGATGAGAACAAGATGGGATTCAACACTGACAAGTGCAAGGTGCTGCACCTGGGGAGGAAGAACCACCACCATAGCTACAGGCTTGGAAACTCCCTTCTTATCAGTGCAGAGGCAGAAAAGGATCTTGGAATCACTATTGATGCCAAAAATGAACATGGGCTGGCAGTGTGGGGATGCAATCAGGACAGCCAACCGCACCTTGTCATGCATCCACAGATGCATCTCGAGCAGGTCCAAGGAGGTGATCCTCCCCATCTATGCGGCACTGGTCAGGCCGCAGTTGGAGTACTGCGTCCAGTTCTGGGTGCCACACTTCCCACTCACATGATCAGGGGACAGAAGGGTAGACCCTATGAGAGGCTACGGGACCTGAACCTGTTCAGCCTCTACAAGAGAAGTCTGAAGGGGGGGATCTAGTGGCCTGTTACAAACTAGTCAGGGGGGACCAGCAGGCATTGGGGGAGTCCCTATTCCCCCATGCACTACCAGGAGTGAGAAGAAATAATGGTCACAAGCTGGCAGAGGGTAAATTCAGACTAGCTATCAGGAGGCGCTACTTCAGTCAGGGCAGCTAGGATCTGGAACCAAATTTCCAAGAGAAGTGGTGCTGGCTCCTACCTTGGGGGTCTTCAAGAGGAGGCTAGACAATTACCTTGGTGGGGTCATTTGATCCCAGTACTCTTTCCTGCCATGGCTGGGGGGTTGGACTTGGTCTGCTCAGGTCCCTTCCAACCCTACCAACTATGAAACTATGAATGCTATAATTAAGGTTATGGGCCTCAACCAGACAGCCAAGAGAGACACTTCGCTGCGTTATGGGCTGCCTTCACTATTTGTAAAGCTCTGCATAGTACTTGGGGTGCAGACAGAAGTGCAGCTCTCAGATTTAACTCAGAGCAATTTTTGCAAAGTGTTCTGAGTTACCATATTACCCTGGACCAAACAGAAATTCACTGCTGGTCCTAGGGGAGGGGGAATCTAGCTGCGGGCTGGGAGCCTGCAGCCAGGTTCCCACAGGAACAGCCAGGGCTCTACCAGTGCTTGCTGTTATCATAATGGGAACTTGGGGGGGAGAGGCTACAGGGCATGAACCTGTTCAGCCTCCAAAAGAGAAGGCTGAGGGGGGATCTAGTGGCCTGTTATAAACTAGTCGGGGGGGGGGAATCAGCGAGCATTGGGGCAACAGAGCACTGTTCCCCCGTGCACTGCCAGGTGTGACCAGGAATAACTGTCACAAGCTGGCAGAGGGCAGGTTTAGGCTAGACATCAGGAAGCACTACTTCACAGTCAGGACGGCTAGGATCTGGAACCAACTTCCAGGAGAGGTGGTCCTGGCTCCTACCCTGGGGGTTTTTAAGAGGAGGTTGGATGAACATCTTGCTGGGGTTGTATGACCCCAGTATTGTTTCCTGCCATGGCCGGGGGTCGGACTAGATGATCTACTCGGGTCCCTTCCGACCCTAGTAACTATGAAACTATGCATCACCATTACTTAAATTAAGGCCACAAAAAACACCTAGCTGCAATGCATTAAAAAAAGGCAACTAGTTACAGAATTAGGTTTTTACCTTTTCCCAGTGGGTGAGTCTTGTCCAATTCCATAAGCCAGGAGAGCTGCAGATGGTTCATGAATTAATCTCATAACATTAAAGCCAGCTGCCCCAGCTGCTTCCCTGTGATAAGGGACATCACAGTTGGTTAAAGGTTTGCATTTAAATTTTACTTGGTATCCTATGTAGCACTGAGAAAGCCCCACTAGTGTGTAGTACCAACTCAAACATCATGTTTAAGACAGCTGCCCAAAAATGATTTATCCTAATTAAGGAACACAGCAATTTGTACCACACAGATTTTTAAACTAGGTCCTGACTCAGTTGCACATATTGTTGGTTATTCACATGAGCGGGGGCATGCATTTGCAGCAGCATGCACAGTAGTGGCACAAATTTGTGCCACTACTTTGTGCTGTGATGCACACTCCTACTTGTGTTCTTTGCAGCAGGATACATTGTCTCATGTGCTGCAGTGGGGAATGGCTGGGGCCCAGGGTACATCGGTGCAGGGCTAGCCAACAGGCAGCCCCCACACTGAGGCACCCTGTGCTCCAGCCAGCCAGGGAGCAACAGATGGGACAGCAAGCAGCCCAGGACTGCCAGTTCCCCTGATCCTGCATGCTACAGACCCTGCCCTGAGGCAGCCTGTGCCCCAGCCAGCTGCTGCCCAGAAGGCTGGGGCGTAGCATGCCTTGAGGTTGGGGGAGCAGCCTGTACTTTAAAGAAGCCTTACTGAGAGTGCAGGAATAAACATCCTGATGTAGGAAGACTAGCAAACAAGGCAGAAGACCAGTTTGGCTTAGCAGGGAACTCTTCAGTAAGCTCAATCACAGAAAGGAAGCTTTTAAGAATTAGAAGCTTGAACAAAACTAGGAAGGAGCATAGGAATATTGCTGGGGCATACAGGGATGAAGTCAGGAAGGGATGTGAAGGGGAGCAAGAAGTGTTTCTACAAGTCAGTCAGGAACAAGAGGAAGACCAGGGAAAGTATGGGTCCCTTGCTGAATGGGGGAAGCAACCTTGTGACAAGAGGATGCAGAAAAGGCTCAAATGCTCAGTGCCCTTTTCACCTCAGTCTTCATAGGTAAGGTCAGCTCCCAGACTATTGTACCTGGCAGCACAGTTTGGGGAGGAGGGGAGCCAACAACAGTGAAAGAACAGGTTAGGGACTATGTAGATAAGCTGGACACACACAAGTCTATGGGGCCACATGGGATGCACCTGAGGCTTCTGGGGGAGTTGGCTGATGTGATTGCAGAGCCACTGGCCATCATCTTTGAAAACTCATGATGATCAGGAGAGGTCCCAGATGATTAGAAAAAAAGGTCAAATGTAATGCCCATATTTAAGAAAGGGAGAAAGGAGGATCCAGGAAACTACAGACCAGTCAGCCTCACCTCAGTCCATGGAAAAAATCATAGAGCAGATCCTCAAGGAACCCGTGTCTAAGCACTTGGAAAAGAAAGTAATTAGGGACAGCCAGCATGGATTCACCATGGGCAACGCATGCCTGACCAACCTGATTACCTTCCATGAGGTGCCTGGCTCTGTGGATGCAGAGAGACCAGTGGATGTGGTATACCTTGATTTTAGCAAGGCTTTTGACACGGTTTCCCACAGCATTCTTGCAGGCAAGCTAAGAAAGTATGGGCTGGATGAATGGACTGTAAGGTGGATGGAAAACTGCCTGGATCATCGGGTTCAGAGGATAGTAATCAATAGCTCAATACCTAGTTGGCAGTAGGTATCAAGGGAGGGCCCAAGGGGTTGGTCCTGGGGCTGGTTTTGGCCAATGTCTTCATCAACAACCTGAAAGATGGCATGGAGTGCACCCTCAACAGGTTTATAGGAGGACAAAAAGCTGGGGGGGTAGTAGATAGGCTAGAGGGTAGGACTAGGATTCAGGTGTGACCAAGACAAATTGGAGGACTGGACCATGAGAAACCACATGAGGCTCAACAAGGACAAGTGCAAAGCCCTACACCTAGGATGGAACATCCCCATGCACCAGTACAGGCTGAAGGCTGACTAGTGGGGAAGCAGCTCTGCAGAAGAGGACCTGGGGGTTACAGTGGACAATAAACTGAATAAGCCAACAGTGTGTCCTTGTTGCCAAGAAGGCTAACAGCATACTGGGCTGGTAAAAGTGTTGCCAGCAGGTCAAAGGAAGTGATTATTTTCCTCTATTCACCACTGGTGAGATCCCATCCAGAGTACCATGTTCTGTTTTGGGCCCCCCACTACAGAAAGGATGTGGACAAATTGCAGAGAGTCCAACAGAGGATGGAACTGAACTGTTCTCAGTGGTGGCAAACAAATGACAGAACCAGGAGCAATGCTCGCAAGTTACAGCAAGGGAAGTTTAAGTTAGATATTAGGAAGAATACTCTCACTAGGAGGGTAGTAAAACATTGGAGCAGGTTACTGAGAGGCTGTGGACATCTTTGGAGGTTTTTAAGACCTAGCTAAGACAGTCTTGGCTGGGGTGATCTAGTTGGGGATGGTCCTGCTTTGAACAGGGGGTTGGACTAAATGACCTCCCTGAGGTCCCTTCCAATCCTAGTTTTCTGTGAGTCTAATATGCAGTGTTCTAAGCCCAATGCTTCTGCCTAAGTGAACAAACTCCCTGGTACTGTCCAGTCAGTCTGCCTGAAACCAAATCTGGGAGGACTGGTCTTAGGTAATATAAGACTGAAAGAGTTTGATCTTCAAATCCATGACCTGATTTTTTGGTTTTTTTTAAAAAGTTCACTTCTATAGGTGCCTATACATGCGCTTGGCGGTCAAGGCAGCATTTTAATTAGAGTGGTTCCAGAGAGCCGCTCCAATCAAAATTCTGCTGCATCATGTGCAGTAAGCCCCCTGTGTATTTAAAAACAGCACTGGGACACAAACTACAAATCACTGAATGAGCTGTAAAGTGCTGGAGCAGCCATTTTTAACCTGCAGGGGTTTACACATGTGAGGTTGCAGCAGTGCTCAAATGTATAGGCACCCTAAGAGAGTGCCAATTGGGATGGTGAGCTTTGATACAGTAGGAACAAACCAAGACCATGTAGTTTCAAAAATAAAGGCAAAAAGATGGTAAAACTTGTAACTTCTTGTCCATACTGAAATCAATGATATGCCTCCCATTCACTTAGCCCGAGATGGATTCCTAACCATCCTATTTAAGTTGGTGGGAATTTCCCCCTCTGTTTCAGTCAAGATAAGAGGTCATTCTTAGTCATCATCACTTAATTTCAAACCCAAACCAAAACCTTTTTCCTCTTACCCAAGAGCATTTTTCTGGTTCTCGCCAAAGTCAAATGGTACAGTGATCACAACATCATTGACATCTGAACCCAAAGCAGACTGAGCAGTTTCTGTCCATAAAATAAACAAAAACACACTGATTAAGAAGATACCTTGGTAATATTAGACCCATAACAATTTTAAAGAAAGTGTTACTCACTACACACCTTTCATTTTGCTGAAAATTAGTTTTGCAACTTCTTCAGGGCTAACAAGTTTGTTATCCATTTCATACTGGAGTTTTCCGTTCTTCTCAGTCACCTAAAAAAAAAAAAAAAAAAAAAAAAAAAAAAAAAAAAAAAAAAAAAAAAATCAACACAAGTATGTGACATGTCACTCATGTTGTTTACCATGAAGGAAAATTGACATTTAAAGTCTAATTCAGTTTCTATTCCCAGAAAAGAATAATTTTTCATGGTAATTTTTCATCATCATCTTGAATGATACAAATGCTCAAAAAAAACTAAAACTTTTTTTGACCACTGGGTTTATCATTACAGTCTCGTTTTGTGTTATCTATGCTCGCATCAAGTAGCCCATAGCATACAAAATGGAAAAAAGACGGTGAAATTCATATTGCTATGGATTTCAGGCTTTCTGGCAATACTGAGGGTCTCCCAGCCTGACTTTTTTCACAAACACATGGTGACAGCTGACAGCCAACAGGTGCTGACAGCCAACAGGTGCTGGCTTCCATTAGACCAGGTAAATGAGGTCATAAGGGCTACATAAGTTAAGGACTGCCCAGGAGGAGGGGGCAGCAGCCATGAGGAAAACTCAAGAGAGAGAGAGGAGCTGGACCATC